AGGGACATGGTTCCAGCTACTTCCCGGAGCGGAGTGGGGCCGGGGCCAGCAGCCTGCCCTGGCCCCAGTGTGCGCCGCTGCCACCCCGGAGCCCAAAGCCCTCTTGCACCCCGCCCCCCAACTCCCTGCCCTGAGCCCCCTGCCTGCATCCCACACCCCTTCTGCACCCCTATCCCCTGCCCTGAGCCCGCTGCCTGCACCCCAACCCCCTGCTGCACCCCAACTCCCTGCCCTGAGCCCCCTGCCTGAACCCCAACCCTGTCCTGAGCCCCCTGCCTGAATCTCAACCCCCTGCTGAACCTCAACCCCCTGCCGCATCCCACACCTCTCCTGCACCCCAACTCCCTGCCCTGAGCCCCCTGCTGCACCCCACACCCCAACCTCCTGCCCTGAGCCCCCTGCTGCATCCCACACCCCTTCTGCACCCTGAGCCCCCTGCCTGCACCCCAACTCCCTGCCCTGAGCCCCCGCCACACCCCTCATGCACCCTCTGGGGGCAGGGAGTGGGCGGAGTTGGGGTGGCGACTTCAGGGAATGGGTTGGAATGGGGGCAGGGAAGGGATGGGAAGAGGTGGGGCCTCATGGAAGGGGTAGAGTGGGGGCAGAGCCGGGGGCAGCAAGGGGGGGTGTGTGTCAGTGATGCGGCCCTCGGGCCAATGAACTGGCCCTCATGGTCATTTGAGTTTGAGACCCCTGTTCTAACCTGACAAGTTGGTGATGATTTTCTCCAGTGAGGTACTTACCTTGTCCAACTCCTGTTGGCACTTCCTAAGCTGGTCCCTCAGGCCTTGGGGAAAATTGTGTTCTCCCTTTCAGTCCCCCTTTGCCCTCCTTACTCTGCCTCCCAGCCACCTTACTTCCTTTCCTAGATGGTCCTGGACCCTCCTGGTCCCAGGCTGCTGTCCTAGCCCTTTTTGCATGAGGGCTGAGAAACCCACCCAGTCTCTCCCCAGAACTATGGGCCAAGACGCCCTTTACCACCCAGACAAACAGTCAAGCTCTCTGACCCCGTGCCTCCAGCTCAACTTCTACAGTGGGGTAGCCTTGGGTCTCGCTATGGATACAAGAGACATTCACTGGGAGGTGTCTGTCCAGGCTATTTAACTTCAACTGGTCTTCCAGAACCAGAGTGCACCCAATACAAGTCCCTTAACTACAGTTCCTCCCACCCTAGCTGCTATTATCCACCATGTGCCCATCTCAACTCTCAGAGTGGACCCCACAGCTTGGTCCCACTGTAGTAACAGTTTAGGTAGATACAGTTCATAATTGGGCATTGATTTTTTTTTTTTAATATGCCCAGCCTGGCCACAAGGGAAACAAACCCCAGAGCCTCTTGGTCCCTTCCCACTAGTATTTCCAGTAACCTGCAGGGCTCCCCAGGACCCTTGTAGGTGCTGTGGGCCTCTTGAGTTTAGGACACAGGGTATTTCCGACTTGAGAGCTTCCCCTGGGTTACCCCCTGGTGAACTCCCCTCAGTTTACTACATTGTCCTGGTCGCTTGTCTCCTTCAGCCTCAGAGAAGGCTTCAGCTCACTCCACCACGTCCTCCACTGAGGCCAGCCGGAAACACTTTACCCAGCTCTGTGCCCCTCTGGGCAGAACCTTCAGGAACTGTTCAAGGACCACCTGATGCAGAACTTTCTCCCCTGACCCGGTCTCTGGGCAGAGACACCACCTCAAGAGGCTGCAGATGTGCCCCTCACGGGAATGGTTCCACCAGGAACCTGGGCCGATAAGCCTCTGGAGTCGGCCCTAACCGGTCCAGGATAGCTGCCTTCACCACCGGGTAGGAGTTTGCCTGCTCATCATTTATTACCCAGTAAGCCACCTGCACCTCACCATTCAGAAACTGTGCTATGTGGGCAGCCCAAATAGACTCCTCCCAGTTCGCTGCCTTTGCCACACACTCGAATGTCTGGAAGAAGGCCTCTGGGTCATCTTGTGCTCAAAGGTTTGCAAGGCCCAGACCCCAGTCCCATCACCAATTGCATTACCAGGTGTGGTGCAGCCCAACCGCTTCTGTATCCACTCCTGTTGTTTGGAGTGGACTTCTTGCCACCTCTGTTGTGTAGTGAACTGGCCTCCTGCTGTTTCTGCTGATTTTTCCATCATCTGCATCAGCAAAGTCTGGGTCTGGTGTTCTTGCTGTTTCTGCATAGCGGCTATCTTCTGCTGCTTCCCTGACACTAGCAGGCTGATCACCAACTCCATCTTTCCACTTAGTATAGGGGTGGACTAAGACCCCACTTCTGGTATCATCTGTCACCAGGATGGCTGCCGATTCACCTTTGCTCCAAACATGGGCTGCCACGCCCAGTCTCAGTTAAAGGGGTTTATTCTTTTACAATAAAGGTTAAACAACTAACCAACCAGAATGCAGTCTTAAGTCAGTACCTGGCCCCCAGTCTTCAGGGCAACCCTGCCCAGCTCCTGGCATCTTCCTAGCCTCAGCCAGCTCTGCTCCCCCCTTGGAGCAGCAGCCGCAGGGTTGCTTCCCTAAACCCTCCCTTGCTCCAGTGACTCACCACAGAAGTTAGTTCCACTCCTGTGTGGCCTTTGCTGCCCAGGACTCAGCCTGTCACATTCCTTCCCTCTCAGCTGCCTACTAGCAGCCCTTCATAGACCCAGGTGTAGCCCAGCTCTCTTAATTAACGGGATTAAGCTCACCTGCTCCAGTCCAGGGGAGCAGTGCTCAGTCTATCCACAGAGACCAGCTACCCTGTGACAGGAACAAATATTTAATAATGAGCTCTTCAATCTAGCAGAGAAAGGTCTAATAAAATCCAATGGCTGGAAGTTGAAGCTAGACACATTCAGACTTGAAATAAGACATGATTTTTTAATGGTGAAGGTAATTAATCACTGGAACAATTTACCAAGGGTGAATTCTCCATCACTGACAATTTTAAAATCAAGTTCGGATGTTTTTCTAAAAGATCTGCGCTAGGAATTAATTTGGGGAAGGTCTATTGTCAGACCAGATGATCATAATGGTCTCTTCTGGCCTTAGAATCTATGAAAGCACATATGAGCAATAGATGCTGCACCTCGCTTCTCTCCGAGGTGCTTCCCTTTACCCTGCCTTCTGTTGTTGGCCAGGCTGAGGTTTTTGGAAAAGTGAGCAGAAGTCGCCAGATGAAGGATATTGTCTCTGGCATTGGAACAAAGACAACATAATGCTTCTTTTCATTTGATCAGGGAGAGCAAGCCTCAGACACATTCCAGTAGACTTTGTGCTATTCTGGGGACAAATCCAAGCCATCCAAATAGTAACAGCTCCACAGCTGTATTACTTATTAGTATGATGTCACTCAAAATTCTATCCAATTACTTTAAAATGATTCAGCACATCAATGATCAATGCACATATAGGAAAGGAAAAGTCCAAGAGTTAGAACAGAAAATTTAGAAACTATAAAACTAAAAAACGTAAATTAGGGGCTTCCAGTTGTAGAATTAATTTATATTGCAAATGGTCTTTCATAGTTGGTGCCATCCAATTACAAATATATAAAAGCTCTAGGAATGGTACTTTTTCTAATTCAAGCCTGTCTAGCTGCATCAATGTAATCTGGATTAACCTATTAAAAGAATTAGTGAAGAAGTTTGAATAAGGATACATATACAAGAATGTCTTCACAATATTTGCATTCCTGCTTGCTCAGAGCATGAGTCATTTCCTATAACTCTTTCTACAGCAAAATATGCATTTGTCTCGTCTAGACACAGCATTTTATACAGTGCTACTGGGATGCCTTAACCTACTTGTGCTTTTCTATCTTTCAAAGAGAGACGGGAAAGTGAGCTCTTTTTTGTTTTTATGCAGTTAAATATATGCATTGCAAAGTGAGTCTGAAATCAAATTACAACAATTTAAAATCATTTGTAGGATTTTTTTAATGCGTCCTACTGGATAATTATGCATGCTAGAATGCAGTCGTCCCTTACCTCCTGTGTCAGAATCATATTAAATACATGCTTATTCACTGATATATGGTCCTAAAAATCATTTTTAAAACGAGCTACAACTTCCTTTCGTTTTACAAAGAGGCTGATCCTTAGAAGGTGGAAGAGTTCTTTGTGTCCCAGTTTTATAGCACAGTTACACTGACATAGCAGACATCGCTTCACATTTTGGCCCCAATTCCAGAAACACTTAAACATATGCTTAAGTCCTGTCCTGAATAGAGATGCTTTTCTGAATCAGGCTCTTTATTAATATGACGAAGGAACAAACTGTAAGAGTTTCATTTGACATGGTAAGACTGTATCTGTTACATAAAGAAAACACTGCAATGCAAGTCAGGAGCACAAGGGGTCTTTTGGGAGGTGATGTGTGTATAGAGATAAGGTGTTGGGCAGTCCAGGACTTTGTGTGTGCAAAGTGTTTGCTGCTGCCCATGGTTTTATGATAATTAGGTTTAGTTTTGTACCATTGTTTTAAATCAGTAACATTAATAATATGAAGAGACCTTTCTGCTTTAATAATGCTGATAGTTATTGCTTAGTGCTTCATTAGTAACATCCACTACTAGCAAACTTACATTTGCCTTTGGCAACATTAAAAATATAGTTATTCATTAAAAATTAAATACCATGTAGGTCTTCAGTTATCTGTGATGCTACAAATCAACATTATTTCCCAAACTGCAATCCATTCTAATTGGATAAGCTGTATCACCAACACTTAATCTCTGACACAGGTATCTGTGCCCTTAGAGAAGTGTATTAGACATCTTCAGAAATGAAAAATCAATCAGGATCAACTTCCAATACAGAGCAGGGGCAGATCCTCCATTGCCCTGTACTCTGTCTGGTCAAAGTGGATATTAAATGCTAGTAAATTAGAATGGTAACGATTTACACCCACTTTGCACTGGTGTAAAAATGACTGCACATAATACAGGGAATGGGGAATCAGGACCAATGTACCTAGTGACCTAAGCAAGGTTAAACTTCTTCAGTAACAACTGTATATATAGGAATTTTTACTTACTTTGGAGGGGGACCCTTCTGTGATTTTCACCAGCTGCCAGAGAATAGAGTAATGAGAACACTGTAGTGCCTGAACAACTATCTGTAATAGAGGGAACACAAAGAATGCCAATACACTGGAAGACATCAAGTACAAGTCTTTAACTAAAATTTAGCTAAAGTTTATGAAGAATTTTGGAAAAGAAGCGATAATAGCTCTTGTGTAGCACTTCTCATTTTCAAAGGTATGATTTTACCCCTTAGCATCTTAGGCCTGGTCTACACTAACACCCCAATTCGATCTAAGGTACGCAACTTCAGCTACATGAATAATGTAGCTGAAGTCGACATACCTTAGTTCGAATTTACCGCGGTTCAGACGCGGTCCACGCGCAGCAGGCAGGCTCCCCCGTCGACTCCGCGGTACTCCTCTCGCTGAGGTGGAGTACCGCAGTCGACGGCGAGCACTTCCTGGTTCGACTTATCGCGTCCAGACCAGACGCGATAAATCGAACCCGGAAGTTCGATTGCCAGCCGTCGAATTACCGCGGTAGTGTAGACCTGGCCTTAGTATCAGTAAAGACTGTTTACCTCATTTGGTAGGGAAAAAAATTGTAGGTGCTGTGAAGGAAAACTGCAACAGTTTTTGTCTGTCAGAGCAGAGTAAAGAAAGGCATAGGCAAGTCTGAACATGACAAAAGTATGATCCAGCATCTGGATATCTCCATGTAAAAGCATGTGTTTTAATCCATCGAATTCTTAAACTGTCAGTATGACAGCCTGGTAACATGGTGCAAATCAGAGAGAACACATGTCTCATGGAGATGGCAGGGATAATATTAGTGCTACAAACAGAGATATCAGTGGGAGGTGTCACCTGAAATTCAGTAAAAATGTAAAGGACAACTGTTACTTCCTCTCAAAATCTTGTCCAGATCAGTGATGCTTCCCACAATCAATAGAAATGAACAGTCTAGGGGCAGAGAAGCTATACTGGAAGAGTGCTTAACTTTTTATTTCTCTATGCTGGAGGTTTTGTGTCAGGTTTTACGTGAGGATAAACTACATTTCATAAAAGCAAGAACACTAGGTGGGGAGCCACCTAAGACAGCGAATGGGAGATGCCGACCAGAGGAGTGCATGCTAAACCCTACCCTTTCCATAGAGACAGGCTTCTTAGTCTGGGCTCCAGAGAAGCAACTAGCTCTGCTTGCAATTCTGAAGCCAGGAACCTTCTTTAGAGTTAGGCACCTTAAGCCATTTTAGCAAGAAGCTACTGGAGGAGGAGGTGCCAACCTTATAACTTTTAGACCAGTCATTAGAGCACTGGCCTGGGATGTAGGAGATCCAGGTTCAATTCCCCTCTCCATCAGAGGGGGAGAAAGGATCTGAACAGGGGTCTCCTATCCCTCAGAAGACTACTCTAAACACTCAGCTATGGGATACTCTGAGGTGGGGCTCCTTCCATCTTTCCTGTTCAAGCTGTACCACTGCGCACAAATAATGAGTGACTGGTGCAGGGGGAATTGATGCTGGGTCTCCCACATGGGTGCCCGAACCACTGGACTACAAAGTCATTCTTGCTCTCTGGCCCAGTGATTGTTCCACTGTGGACAAATACTTAAATAGTCATTGAACCAGCATTACAGTGTAATCATAATTCTAATCTTATCTAGCATGTATGTAGCACATTCCATAGCAGAGGAGGAAACCGAGGCACAGGAAGAGTAAGGACCAGATTTTTAAAGGTATTTAGGCATAGCAATGCCTAAATACCTTTAAAGACTGGAGCCTAAGTGACTTAGTTAAAGTTACACAGTGAGTCAGCTGCAGAGCCAAGAACAGAACCCAAGTCTTCTGACTCCCGGCCATGCACCTCACTAATACTGACCTTTCATTGAAAATCCCAGGAATTTCATTAAAATTAATTTCACTGTGTGACCAAAAAGCATGGTTTAAACTGTGGTATCAGGAAATTAAAGGCTAGGGCATCAACTTATTGTGCTTCTCTATGATTGTTCTACTAAAACTCATAAAGCTTAACTCCCCCAAATGATATAATGTATATATTGCTAATTGTACCTGTTCTGGCATGGCTCCATGTTCAATTCCAGTCCTCAGTAATCTGTAGCAGTTACTAAACAGATCCCATTTTGTGAGATCATGAGCACTAAAACAAGAGGTAATAAAAAGACATTAGTTGAGTTTCATGAGAAGAAAACTGTCTCTATGACTCAATCAATAGTTCAGTATTTGTTTGCAATGCTGAGACAAAAGAGCAGTTTGAAAGACACTTGTATAAATTAGTTCACACTACATTAAAATTTGAAGTTGTGCTTTTTCATAAACTAGGAATATTTTACCACAAGAGATTTTTGTTAATGCAGAATTAAAATCAATGCAAATAATACACCTTTATATATACAGAGGTAGCTGAATTGTGGCCAAACTACCATGTCTCAAACTTGTCTCTAAATCAGCTTACTTCTGTGATTCTAAACACTGCTGGAACTTCAGCAGGCATTTCTCTGGCATTGTGGCAGATACCCACAAGGGAAGTCAAATAAAATATTTTAAATGAAAAATAATTTTTAGGCAAAGTAAATTTAGTATTTTTCTCTAGTTATTTGCAATAAAATATTTAATTTTAAAATAGTAAACATTCTAAAATATCTAATGTAAGACAGAAGGGATCTAGTTACAGGAGACTGGAGGGGAAGAATACTGAGAAAAGCTCATGAGACCCGTCACTTCACATCAAGTTATAAGGCCCTGATCCTGCAAAGAGAACCATATGGGTGGATGCCTGCATCTACATAGAAACTCACTGATTTCAATGACTTAGGCCTTGTCTAAACTACCACAATAAGTCAACCTAAATTACACTACTCCAGCTATGTGAATGTTAACTGGAGTCGACGTAGATTAGGTTGACCTACTGCGGTGTCTACATCACGCTGTGTCGAAGGGAGACACTCCCTCGTCGACTAACCTTCCTCTTCTCGTTCCGGTGGAGTACTGAAGTCGACCGGAGAGCGCACTGCATTTTCACCAGACCCGCTAAATCGACCCTCGCTGCATCGATCACAGCAGCATAGATCACCGTAAGTATAGACATGGCCTTAATGTAAAGCTACACTCTTATTGCTGAAGAACTGATTGTTATACGCAGTTATAAAAACTAATCCTTTTGTACTGAAAAGTGAGGAAATATTGGGGCAGTCTCTGCTATTGGTTTGTACCTACTCATATTGTCATTTAATTAAAAGCTCTTGAATAGCAGAATTGTAAAAGACCCTAAAGACAAACAAACAAACCAACCCTCATAAAAGCTGAATTTCAGGTAGGCTTGGCTCCATGACAATAAGATGTGTATTATGTAAATTCTAGCCCCCAAGTTACTGTCTCTGAATAATCTTGTTGTATACACTGACCCTGATTCAACAAAGCACAAAGACTTGTCCACACACAAAAGTTGTACCATTTGAATAATACCAACAGAGTTAAAGCGGTACACAACCTCCTAGTGTAGATGCAGTCATGCTGAAACAGTTTATTTCTGTAGGGAAGGAGAAAATAAAAATTCTGTCTTATTTGTGAATTTTCATTCTAGGACCCTCAATGACAGACAGACAGTCTTCACAGGAGTGTTCTGTTTCCATGGCAACTGAAGACAGACCAGATCTTTGCTTTATGCTTGGGCTTAGGTCTGCCCCTCAGGAAAATTTCTCCAGAACGATAACCTCCAAAGCTGGAAAAGTACTAACTATACAAAAGTTTAAAAGTGCAATTCAACTCATCTATTTGCAGAAGAGTTTTGACATGAAATTTTGGGATTTCCTGGAGGAACACCCTCTTCTCTTCCAAACTAGTTAACAAGTGAACAACAGCCAGAAGAATACCTGGTCATAATGCAATACTCTGAGGGAGGGTCAGACTGTCTGACATGGAGGGTACTAGAATGAAAATTAATTGATAAGACAGGATTTTCCCTCTTAGTTCCCTCCATGTCAGACAGTCTTTACAGTGGGATTCAGAAAGCAGTAAATCATCCCTAGGGAGGGAAGATTCAATTTATGTATGCAGAACTGAAAAGACATTTCAGGGTTACTGGGGCACTCTGTTTTGTAACACCCTTCTACCACCAAATGCTGCATTAGCAGGGAGAGGATGGCAACGGAAAGTGAGGATTTAAGGCCATGTATAAGCTTTACAGGCCCTCCTCAAAAGTTTGCAATGACAAAGAAATTGGGGGTGTGGTAAATAATGAAGGGGACAGATCACTGATTCATAGAGATCTGCATCGCTTGGTAAAATGGGCACAAGCAAACAATGTGTGTTTCAATAAAGCTAACCATAAATGTATACATCTAGGGACAAAGAATGTAAGGCATACTTGCAGAATAGGGAAGCAGTGACTCTGAAAAAGATTTGGGGGTCGTGATGGATAATCAGCTGAACAGGAGCTCCCAGTATGATGCTGTGTCCAAAAGAACAAATGCAATCCTGGGATGCATAAATAGGAGAATCCCGAGTAGGAGTAAAGAGGTTAATTTACCTCTATACTTGACACTGGTATGATCGCTGCTGGAATGCTGTGTCCAATTTCAATACCCTCAATTCAAGAAGGATGTTGATAAATTGGAGAGAATTCAGAGAAGAACCACAAGAATGTTTAAAGGATTAGAAACATGCATTCTAGTGAAATACAGCTCAATCTATTTAGTTTAAAAAAGAGAAGGTTAAGGGGTGACTTTGTCATAGTATATTACTATCTACCTGGGGAACAAATATTTAATAATGGGCTCTTCAGTCTAGCAGAGTCAGCTATAACTTGATTCAATAGCTGAAAGTTGAAGCTAGACACATTCAGACTGGAAATAAGACAAATGTTTAATAGTGAGGGTAATTAACCATTGGAACAACTTACCAAGCGTCATGGTGGAGTCTCTATTACTGACAATGTTTAAATCAAGATTGGATTTAAAAAAAAAAAAAGATATGCTGTAGGAATTATTTTGGGGAATTTCTCTGGCCCTGCTATACAGGAGGTCAGACTAGGTGATTACTATGGTCCCTTCTGGCCTTGGAATCTATAAAAGATGAGTATCTCTCTGCCCACAAGACCACTGCTCTTTTCATATTGGTAATGGCAGTTGTACTGGAGGCTTTGAATGCCTCTGCTATATGCACCTTTATTCCTTTGTAGGCTCTGTTCACACCCAACTTATGCATTTCCACTTCCTTAGAATGCATGCATTCAGCCAGTACAGTAACAATACAATTTCCTATTATATGAGGAAAATTGAGATGACCTTGGAGATGGAGGCATGGTTAGTTCATAGTACAATCGTGTATCATAGAACATGTAAACTCAGGTTTCACGGAGAGCACACTAAGCTTCAACCCCCACTGGGGGCAAGAAGGTGGTGAGCAGGCAAGATACTTTCAGTGAGAAGAGGAAGATGTACCAACTGCAAAGCTGAAAGGTGCTGTTGTTAGGACCTGCAGCCCACAGATTAAGATCATGACAGGAATTTGCATATTGGTACCAATGACATAGGGAAAGGTATACCCCAAAATAAAAAAACAGCGTAAGAAGGTCAGAAAAATGTCATCATGGCTAAACAACAGAGTAAAAGAGGCAGTTAGAGGCAAAAAGGCATCCTTTAAAAACTGGAAGTCAAATCCTACTGAGGAAAATAGAAAGTTGCACAAACTCTGGCAAGTCAAATGAAAAAGTATAATTAGGCAGGCCAAAAAAGAATTTGAAGAGCAACTAGCAAAAGACTTAAAAAAAAAAAAAAATTGCTGTTTCTTTTAAGTGCATCAGAAGCAGAAAGCCTGCCAAACAGTCAGTGGGGCCACTGGACAATCGAGGTGCTAAAGGAGCACTCAAGGAAGACAAGGCCATTGTGGAGAAGCTAAATGAATTCTTTGCATTGGTCCTCACTGCAGAGGATGTGCAGGAGATTCCTACATCTGAGCCATTCTTCTTAGGTGACAAATTTGAGGAACTGTCCCAAATTCAGGTGTCAACAGAGGAAGTTTTGGAACAAATTGATAAATTAAACAATAACAAGTCACCAGAACCAGATGGTATTTACTCAAGAGTTCTGAAAGAAATCAAATATGAAATTGCAGAACTACTAACTGTGGTATGTAATCTATCACTTAAATCAGTGTCTATACCAGATGACTGGAGGATAGCAATGTGACCTTAATTTTTAAAAAAGGCTCCAGAGGCAAACCTGGCAATTAGAGGCCAGTAAGCCTAACTTCAGCACAAGGCAAAAAGGTTGAAACTATGGTAAAGAACAGAAGTTATCAGACACATAGATAAACACAATGGAAGAGTCAACATGGCTTTTGTAAAGGGAAATCATGCCTCAACCAATCTATTAGAATTCTTTGAGGGTCAACAAACATGTGGACAAGGATGATTCAGTGAATGTACTGTAGTTAGACTTTCAGAAAGCCTTTGAAAAGGTCCCTCACCAAAGGTTCTTAAGCAAATTAAGTAGTCATGGGATAAGAGGGAGGGTCCTCTCATGGATCAGTAACTGGTTAAAAGACAAGAAACAAAAGGTAGGAATAAACGGTCAGTTTTCAGAATGGAGAAAGGTAAAAAGGGGGATCTCCCAGGAATCTCTATTGGGACCAGTGCTGTTCAACATATTCATAAATGATTTGGAAAAAGGGATAAACAGTGAGGTAGAAAAGTTTGCAGCGATACAAAATTACTCAAGATAGTTAAGTCCAAAGCAGACTGTGAAGAGTTACAAAGGGATCTCACAAAACTGGGTGATGGGGCAGACCAAATTAAATGTTGGTAAATGCACAGTAATGCATATTGGAAAATATAATCTCAACTCTATGCACAAAATTATGGGGTTTAAATTAGCTGTTACCACTCAAGGAAGAGATCTTGGAGTCATTGTGGATAATATTCAGGAAACATCAGCTCAATGTGCAGCGGCAGTCAAAAAAGCTAACAATGTTAGGAACCATTAAGGAAAGGGATAGATAATAAGTCAGTAATTATCATAATGTCACTATATAAATTCATGGTATGTCCACACCTTGAATACTGTGGGCAGTTCTGGTCGCCCCATCTAAAAAAAAAAGATATATTAGAAATGGAAAAGGTACAACAAAGGGCAACAAAAATGATTAAGAGTATGGAACAGCTTCCATATGAAGAGAGATTAGAAAGACTGGGACTGTTCAGTTTGGAAAAGAGATGACTACAGGGTGGTATAATAGAGCTATATAAAATCACAAATGATGTGGAGGAAGTGAATACTGAAGTATTATTTATCCCTTCACATAACACAAAAACAGGGGTCACTCAATAAAATTAATAGGCAGCAGGTTTAAAACAAACGTAAGGAAGTACTTCTTCACACAGTGCACAGTCAACTTTTGGAACTTGTTGCCAGGGGATGTTGTGAAGGCCAAAAGTATAACTGGGTTAAAAAAATAATTAGATAACTTCACGGAGAATAGTCCATCAATGGCTATTAGCCAAGATGGTCAGAGATGCAACTCCATGTTCAGGGTGTCCCTAAGCCTCTGAGTGGCAGATGCTGGGACTGGATGACAGGGGATGGATCACTTGATAATTGCCCTGTTCTGTTCATTCTTTTTGAAGCATCTGGCATTGGCCACTGTCAGAAGACAGGATACTGGGCTAGATGGACCATTGTTCTGACCCACTATGGCCATTCTCCTGTTCCTATGCCGGAAAACTGATAAAGTTGGTGGTCCTCAGATATCTTGTTATGTGAAGATGATGAGATTCTTATGGGTTTCTTACAGAGCTACATTCCTGCAGTCACTGGACTTGTCTTTCCAAAAAGTGTTGGCCTTGAGCCCCATGGTCAGGCTATGTTGTAAAAACACCAGAATGTCCTTTGCTTCAGCTGACTTTGCCTTGATGTGTATCCCATATAACCCTGATATCTCATCAGATGATACATATACATGATTTTGAATTTCCTCTAAAATACTGGGAAGATGTTAATCACTTTCTTAGGAGTAACTGTAGTTACTTCCTCTCAGCTTCCCAGCTGATGGGTTAGGCAGCACTGGATATTGGTTCATGAGAGATCCCTGGTGGGTGGGTGTGCGTGCTGCAAGTTTGAGAGGAGGTTACAGTTATATCTGTTGGAGAACTAAGACTTGAGAGTTAACAAGAAGGTGATTTTAATCACTTTGGTCTGTTCCTTCACCATCATCTTTACCACCTTTATTCTCAGAAGCTTGGGGGGTAGGGGAGGAAAGGCATAAAGAAAGCCCTTTAGCTCACTTCTGAGATAAGGGGATCACTGCCTCTGCTTTTGAATGTCTCTTCCTAATGTTTTACCTCTTTTGGTTTTCTAACTGGACTTGGATGCAAATAGGTTAATCAATAGGCTTTCAACCTGTCCTGTGATGCACTGAAAGGCTAGGTAATCTAGACTGCAATCCTTTGTTTCTAAGTGTGTCTTGCTGAGCCAGCTGACTCACTCGCTTCTTGGTGTAGAACCCTGAAGAATAGAGTGAGAGTTTCTATTCAAGACATGAACAAAGCTACTTCTCTAAGCAGTGCTGAATGTTTTCTCCCTTATCAGTTACATACAGACCATGATTCTCAAGAGTCACCTGCTGGAAATGGAGATGTGAGTTAGATAGTCCTTAGCATGAGACAGGTTATATTCCATGTCACCTTGTGGGGCCATGAGTATCCCCTACATGGAGTCTGTTGGTATCTGTTTTGCTGGCCAGCTTCTTTCAGCCTGACATCAGGTAGTTGTTAAATAATATTAAGAATGAATTCACCGAGGGATACTAGTTCTGGATCTGGACCAAGATCTTTATATATGGATTTGCTGGCTGGCAGTGAGGCAAGAATTGTTCTGGGTTATCCACGTATGAAACCAACAACCCCAGAAGCTCAGTCAGAAACTCTAATCTTAGGAGAGATATGCTAATGTTTGGCAAATCAGACACTATCTTCTGCCATCTCCCTTCTGAAATAAAGATTGTGCTGGATGATAACTTAGATGCTGGAGTTTTGTGAAGGCTGTAATTGGCCCTTACATTTGTTTGCTCAAAGCCATGTTTCTGAAGGCTTTTAGCAATGGCTACTGGACTCTGTGTAATATGAGAATGTCATTCAGACATCCCTTTCACTCGAAGGGAGGGATGATATACCATTTGAGTAGAAGATACAAGTCCAAAAAGGGAATACTTTGTATTGAAAATGCCTCTTGTTGGGGCAGAAGCTAACACTGTACTCCGTGCTGATTAGGCCTCAACTGGAGTACTGTGTCTGGTTCTCGGCACCAGATTTCAGGAAAGATGTGGACAAATTGAAGAGAGTCCAGAGAAGAGCAACAAAAATGATTAAAGGCCTAGAAAACATGACCTATGGGGGAAGATTGAAAAAACTGTGTTTGTTTAGTCTGGAAAGGAGAAGACTGAGAGGGGACATAACAACATGACATTTTAGTTAAAAATCTTTTAAAAATCCTATGAAAGCTTTGACACAGAGTCCTTCAAGTCTGCTGTGCACCCCTTGGAGGCAGAAAATTCTGGAGAGTTCTTCCAGAGGTCTCGTCTTAAGCCTCGGCTCAGAGCAAAGCTCTGTTCTGCCCCCAGCCGATGTGAACAGAGGGAGGGCCACTGCTGTGAAGACTGGCGAATAAGCTCTACCAGTAAGTCACCTAGAAGGTTTTACAGCATAACTATTTCAATGAAAACATCACACGCCCAACCAAAATAGTTGTAAGGCATTGATTTCAGTTGGACTTAAGCATATGTATAAGTGCTTTGCTGAATCAAAGCCCTCCTGTTGCTGTATATCTCCTGGCACTCAGTCTGTTTTTCATATTTTAGCACATAATTTTCCTCATCTTTCCTAACTTTGAGTATCATCTTTTATTCGCTAACATTATACATCATCACTAGACATAGCTGATCCAAATAAAATCACATACTTATGAAAAGAAGTTAATCTCTTCAAAGTGGAAAGCACATTGTATATATCATCATCATCAGCTTCTTCTCCCTGGAAATGAAAGCATATTCATCAAAGTCTCAGCAATACAAATAAGCTTCTCTCTTTGCATGGTGAGGACGACGAATAGTTACACAGAGTCTTACGTTGACATTTGAACTGGCTCATGATGACACAATCACTATTTTGTGCCTAGACTTTTAATTTCAATGAAAAATAATAATAATGGACGTTTTAAGTAACCATTGGGTAGTACTAAGAAATCAGCAAGACTTGTCTGACTGCATTAACAACATCACAGTATTAGTACTCACACAAACAACCTCTGACAGTAGTACAGTAAAAGCTGTTTTATCCGGCAATTCACCAGCTGGAAAGCTCTATAAACCAGCATTTCTGATCTTCATTGAAAGTCCGGTTTATAATCGTGTTGGCATGGCGCTGGCAGGGATTTCGGGTGCGGGAGGGGGTACGGAGTGTGGGCTCTGGGAGGGAGTTGGGGTGTCCCAACCCCCAGCCCTGCACCCCCTCCTACACCCAAACTCCCTCCCGCTCAGTTAACTGGCATTTTTCACTTACTGGCACCCCCCCATTCCTCCAACATGCCAGATAAAACAGCTTTTACTGTAGTCATTTCCCAAGGAAAAAACCTGAGGCAGGGGTTTCAAACTCATTCTGTAAAAAGGATTGAACTGTGTTTTAATTATAGCCTGAGAGCTGGGGCTAGAAGAAGAGAGTCAATGCAATCCTCAATTCATAGCAGAGACTCCACTGATGCAACAGGAGTTTACATAGACTTTCTAATGGCAGACTTTCTAATTTAGTTCAGGTCCTTATCCTGCCCCCATCACCATAGTAACAGAGTGCCTTACATAGCTGAATGCATTAAACCAGTGGTTCTCAAGCTTTTTTTCATTTGTGGACTCCTAAAAAATTTCCAATGGAGGTGCAGACCTCTTTGGAAATTTTGAATGGCAGTGTGGACCCCTTTGGAAATCTATTGTCTGTATATACAGCTGACTTCTGTTCAGTCAGTGTCCAGTAGTGGTCGTGCATGCATCCTGAATGCCCTTAAACCCTGCTTCCCCCAAGGGCATAAAAGGCACAGCAACCCCAACCACCAGTCAGTTCCTTTACTGCCCAGAATCCTCATTTATAAGACTCTGAGCTGTGGGGACAGAGGGCAGGTCATGGGATCCACATGCAGAACATCCCGAAGAACCATAGTTACTATCAGATAAGTAACCATTCTTTCTTATTTGAGTTACTGCACATGTGAATCATACTTATGGTAATTAGTTAGTAGTCAGCTTTAAGAAGTGGGGAAGTGGGAAGCTAGTAGTTATGGGAAAAGAGATTTTAAAATAGTTCTTCCAAAACTGGCATCATATCTTCAAGTGGTGACTAACTAATAATGTTTCACAAACATATGAGCTGAAGGCCAGGTAGTTGCGTCAAATACTTCCAAATCTGGAACCCAACTTAAGCATACTATTGATGCAGCCTGCACTCTGGTGGAGTGAGTTTAGATATTTGGTGGAGAACTCATTAATATCATAAGCAGTTTAAATACAATCCGATACCCATTTTGTAAGTGTCTGTGATGAAACAGCCATCCCTTTTCATTTATTACCATAAGTAATGAAAAGTCTTGATGTTTTATGTAAAGAGCCATAACAGCGACCTTTTCACATCTGAAGTATATAATTTAGATTCAACAGGTGAAAAATGAGGTGTTGGAAAAAACCTGATGAATGAATTGATATGAAAATCCCATAGTACTTTAGGAATAAAAGATGGACGCGTTACTGGTTACTCTATTCATGTGTAAAACCGTACAGAGGATTTATCATTAGGGCTTGTAATTTGCTTATTCTATGAGCAGATGTAACTGCCACCAGGAATGACCTTCATTGACAGTGGATAAATTGGACAATCTGATAAAGGTTCAAAGGAGGGGAGGGTTCATACGTGAAGAAAGCACTAAATTCAAGTCCCATGTAGGAGAAATTTTTCTCACAGGAGGAAAGATGTGGACAAACCATTTCATAAATCTATTCACGGATAGATGAGAGAAAATTGTATCTCCCTATACTGGAGGATGAAATGCAGATATTGTTGCCAAATGGACTTTGACTGACGAAACATATAGTTCTGAGTGCTTTAAAAATAAGAGGTAATCTAACATTATTGGAATAGAATATCGACATGGAGAGTAACCTGTAGACTTTGCCAATAAAGAAAAATGTTTCCATTTGGCAGTGTAGATAGTCCTAGTGGATAATTTCCTACTCTGAAGAAGAATGCTCTGCACCTCTGAAGAACACTCCATGTCTATTGTAGACATCCAGCTATCATCCAGGTTATGAGATGCAGAGAGACTGAGTCTGCCCTTGGGGAAGAGGGTCATGAGGGCATGCAGGGTGCATGTGCAACCCCGCTAGTCACTGCTAATGAAACTGTTCCGAATTCCTGTGCTGGGGCACATGAACACCATGAGTAGGATCGACATGTGCAGTAATTCAAAGGAAAAAAAAAAGGGAGATTTAGTAACTGGTATCAACTAGATCTCTGAAACAGGTGTTAAGTGTACAAAGTATGGAAAAACTTAACATCCAAAACCTGAATTTATAAATAGATATCTGAGAAGTGTGAAACTATCTCAATACTCAGAGGATGATGCGGCAGCTCTTGATAGGCAAATTGCTGCAGGGGAAGTTGAAGTGTAATTAAGAATTTAAAGTCCAATAAAGCTCCAGATCCTGATGAGATTGCTGGGGAATATTATAGAGCTCTAAGGTAAGTGTTGATCCCTATTTTAACTGAATTGTTTAATGCTATAGTGCAGGGAACGAATTTCCAGATTCATGGAAAGAGGCATGGTTATTCCTAAAGAGGGAAAAATTCTTACCAGTTATGCATCATGTAGACATATTTCTTTAATTACTGTGGCTGCTAAAGGTAATGATAAGGTGCTAGCAAACAGACAGTGTTATCTTGCTCAAATATGTTCACCCTGACCAATCTGGGTTGCTTCTGGCAGCACATCTATCTGACAACATCAAAAGCACTCTGAATATGATCTATAATGTTAATTCTAGCAATTCTTCCTATGTGCTGCTTTCTTTGGATGCTGACAAAACCTTTGACCAGATGGAGTGGGAGTACCTCAGACAGATTTTGGTAAGGTTTGGTTTTAGAAGCCAGTTTTATAGGGGCATATCAGCCTTATATGTTCATCTTCTAATGTATGCATTGGTTAATGGTCATCAATCCTCTAATTTTAATTTGTCTAGGCATTGCCCACTATCCTCTCTGTTGTTTGCTTTGGCAATGGAGCCATATGCAATAAATGTGAGAAATAGTCCCTTTGTAAAGGGTATCAAAACATCTGCTGGATTAGATCACAAAATAGCTTTTTTTGCTGATGATATCTTCTTGTATTTGCAGGAGCCAGAATCCTCATTAAAAATGATAGAACAATAGACTTGGGAATCTGGGCAGGTATCAAGGTTTCAAAATAAACTATGATAAATCTGAGAGACAAGGTGGGTGAGGTAATATTTTTTAATGGACCAACTTCTGCTGGTGAGAGAAACACGTTTCGGGCTTACGCATAACTACTCTTCAGGTCTGGGAAGCTTACTCAGTGTCATAGCTAAATACAAGATGGCACAGATTGTTTAGCATAAGTAGTTAAACACATATTGATCTATGTCCTCAATTTGTGTACTTCTTAAAGAAATTGTTTCATAAATTACTGTACAGATGACATTTGACTCCAGTTAAGATCCATCAAAAGTTTTATAACTAGGGAAGCACTTAGTTGACAGGGTTGCAGGGAAAATGGAATGTACTTGCACATTTGGTGACTGTGTCCAGGAATTAGACAGTTTTGGGTAGAAATTATTAAAAAGATTCATTTTATGACTAAATGCTGGCTTCCTAGAGATACTCTGATCTGCTTACTTAAAGCTACAGTAAAAAAATCTATATTTTAAACAGAAAGGCAAATTACTTCATTTTTTATTGTTAGCAACTTGACTTTGTATTGCACATTATTGGAAAAAATGTGATTCCCCCTCCTCCAATGGCATTGAGGTAGAGTAAAATATGGATTGTCCTTGTAACGGAAAAACTCTCTCACCAAGCACGTACACAAGAGAAGTGCCAAAAATAGGACAGATATTTAGAATTTTTTGGTCACCCTTTCTAGCATATTCAGGAGAAGGCAGCTCTTCAGCCAGCAAGCCAGAATGTTTAGCCAGGTTTCTTAAATATTAACCTGATCCTGAATAAATAATATATGATATAGTATGTTCATTTTCTATTGTAACTTTGCCTTAATAAAACGTTTCAGAAAACACCAAACCTAAGGGGATCTTCTAGAAGGACTAATAATGGCTCCACAGTAAGGACTGGAGCTGGGTTTTACCTTTGGCAGGACATTAAAACCATTCTAGAACTGAAACAAAGGCTTGATGTAAAAAAACAAAACTTGGAAAGTACTCCTAAAGGGTCCTGAATATTTTGGGGGTGTTCTAGTATCTAGCAAATATTCCTAGAAAAATAAAGAGTCAAAATTTCATTTTACAGAAATTTTGTATGATGTGTGGAAATTATGTACCTCTTTTGTTCAAAAACTATAGCATCCAGTAACTTCAAACTTCACAGAACTACAAGCCCTTCTCTGAACTACAAGCCTTTTTTCTGAAATCTTTTGGCCCATCTCTTCAAAAATTGACAATTTTTACTTAACTAGAAAAAAACATCAGAATGAGGCTGCTGAATTTCAGCAATATTGACATAGCCTCACTAGCTAGGAAGGTGCTAAGAGAGAGAGAGCGAGCTCTCCATCAAAGTATGCTTTGGCCTAGAAGCCACAAAGACCAAGAGTTCAAGTCTCAGTGCTTGCATTGACTGGTGTTAATATTCTTGTATGCTTCACAGCCCTTATTATTGAGTAAGGTGTAAGGAGGCAAGAGTATATGTCACTTTTGAAAATGGAAAAAATGGTTACTCATCTTCTCGTAACTGTTGTTCTTTGAGATGTGTTGTTTGTGTCCATTCCAACCAGGTGTGTGCGCGCCGCGTGCACGCCAGCCGGAAGATTTTTCCCTTAGCAGCATCCATAGCGTCGACCTGGGCCCCCCCCTGGAGTCATGCCTTCATGGCGCCCAATATAGCACCCTGCCAAACCCCACCACCCCCTCAGTTCCTTCTTGCTGGCTACTTCGACAGAGGGGTAGGAGGGTGGGTATTGGAATGGACATGAACAACACATCTTGAAGAACAACAGTTATGAGAAAGTAACCATTTTTCTTCTTCGAGTGATTGTTCAAGTCCATTCCAATCAGGTGACTCACAAGCCAAAGTTCAGGAGGTGGGGTCGGAGTCATCTCCTGATTGGAGCACAGCTTGTCCAAAGGCCGCATTGTCTCTGGCCTGTTACGTGATCGCATAGTGCATCGTAAACATGTGTATCAAAGACCACGCTGCCGCTCTGCAGATCTCCTGGATGGGGACCTGCGCCAGGAATGCAGATGAGGAGGCCTGAGCCCTGGTGGAGTGAGTGGTGATCAGTGGGCGGTCACCTTCACCAGGTCGCAATGCTCCCGAATGCAGGATGTGATTCACGACGAGATGCGATGGGATGAGACAGGGAGGGCCTTCATTCTGTCCGCCATGGCCATGAATAGCTGGACGGACTTCCGGAACAGCTTAGTCCTCTCTCTATAGAAAGCCAGCACCCTGCGTGAGTGAAGCCTATGCTCCCTATCGCAGGAGTGTGGCTTGGGGTAAAACACTGGGAGGAAGATGACCACCAACTCGTTCTGCACTCTGAGGGGGTATGAAGCCTGAAGGTGTATTGAGTGCTCTACACAGAAGTCCTACAGAGCGAGGGCTTCCCGGCACAGGGGAGAGGAGCGTGCACCCCCCTGTTTGTTGATATAAAACATTGCCATAGTGTTGTCCGTGAGGACTGAAACGCACCTGTCCTCTATATGGGTCCTGAAAACCTGGCACGCCAGGCACACCGCTCTCAGCTCTCTGACATTGATATGCAGAGCAAGGTCCACCTGAGACCAGAGGCCCTGAGGTCTTCTAAATGAGCTCCCCAGCCCAGATCCGAGGCATCTGTCACCAATAGAGAGATGGCTGAGGGCTGGCGAAGGGCACTCCCACACAAACCGCCTGCAGGTCAAGCCACCACAGGAGGGAGTCCAGTACCGGGTGGGGCAGAGTTATGATGCTGTCCAGAGCGTCCCGGGCTGGTCGATAAACCGATGCCAGCCAAGACTGGAGTGGGCAAAGTCTGAGTCTGGCATGCTGCACTACATAGGTGCATGCAGCCATGTGTCCCAGCAGTTTCAGGCAGTTCTTTCCTGTGGTCATTGGAAACTGCCTGAGGCCCCGTATGATGTCCCCTAGCGACTGGAACCTGGCTTTCTTTTGCCCCGAAGAGGGATGCTGCCTCCTCCTACCACTCCTGCTTTGCCTATGCGGAGTGTCCTGGCGGTTCTGCAGCTGGTAGGCTTGCGGGGCGGGCTGAGGCCTAAAATGCCTGCACTGGGTAGCTGGCATGTGGAGCCCCAGAGAGTGCAGAGTAGCCCTAGAGTCCTTCAAACTGTGAAGTCTCTTATCAGTTTTTTCAGAGAAGAGGGAGGAGCCCTCGAAGGGGAGGTCCTGTATAGTCTGTTGGACCTCGTGTGGCAGTCCAGAGACCTGCAGCCAGGAACCCCACCTCATCACCACCCCCATGGCCAGAGTACGCGAGGCTGCGTCCGCTGCGTCTAAAGCTGCTTGCAGGGAGGCCCGGGAGACCAACTTCCCTTCCTCCACCAGTGCGGAGAACTCCGCACGAGAGTCTTGTGGCAGGAGCTCCACAAACTTAGCCATCGCCGAGCAGGTGTTGTACCCGTAGCAGCTTATGATGGCCTGTTGGTTAGCTATGCGGAGTTACAGGCCCCCCGTCGAATAGACTGTCCTACCGAACAGGTCCAGTCTTTTCGCCTCCCTATTTTTAGGGGTGGAGCCTTGGAAACCCTGGCGCTCCCTCTGATTGGCCGCATCGACCACCAAAGAGTCTGGGGGACAGTGTGAATATAGGTGTTCGTACCTCTTAGATGGTACGAAATAGCGTCTTTTGGTTCTCTTGGCCGTAGGGGCCAGAGAAGCGGGGGTCTGCCACAGAGATTTCAATGTGTACACTACTGTCTTTATCAACGGCAGGGCAACCCTCAATGGACCAGAGGGAGCGAGGATGTCCACAACAGGGTCCGACTCCTCCGCCACCTCCTCTGCCTGTATCCCCAGGTTTTGGGCAGCCCATCGTAAGAGCTGCTGGAGAACTCGATTGTCCTCGAGAGCTGGGGCTGCCGATGTCGGCATGGAATGCCTTCCAGTTAGTGGCAATAAATTTTCTCGGAAACAACAAGGCAGACAACTACAGGTTGTTGGTGGAAAACCTCCTCAAGGCATACAAAAGCCTTGGTTGCAACATGTCACTAAAGATACATTTTTTGCACTCTCATCTAGATTTTTTTCCACCGAACTGCGGAGCAGTGAGCGACGAGCACGGCGAGCGATTTCACCAGGACATTGCAACAATGGAGAAACGCTATCAGGGCAAATGGAGCCCATCAATGCTTGCAGACTATTGCTGGACAGTGACAAGAGATGCTCCATTTAATGAATACAAGAGACGAGCCAAGAAGTGCCGAGTAGACACTGAATAGGACTAAACTATGTACAGAATAGTTTTTTGCATTTTCTTTCATAACAAATTTTATTTATATAACCCTTTTGCTGATTTTTAAAGTGTTACATAAATTTTATTTATATAACCCTTTTGCTGATTTTTAAAGTGTTACATAAACAGGACAGGTGAAATATTATCATGTAAAGCAACCATAAACACATGAAAAGACCTAGGTTTACAATTTATGATTAAAACTCTACTATCTACACAATATACATAGACATAAAATGTAAAAACTTAAATATCTTAGAAACAGTAGCCAATCAGTTGTTTTAATTGTCATATTTGAATTCAGCACATCAAAATACATAATAAATAGCACATTTTATCTCTGAAGCAGACGACTTCTCAAAAATTGTAGACCAGTGTTACCTGTCTTTCATTGAGTCAATTATTTTTCAGCACCAAGCACAATGCCTAACCTATTCTGTATGTGTTGTCTCTGATTGCTACTGCTATAGAAAGAAAGACGGAAAGGGTTAGAGTTAAGGTTAGGGGATTAGGATTAAGGATTGACACCTAATTAGAAAAAATATTAACTGAAATGTAATTATACCCCTTTGAAGTTGAAGTTTTTCATTTAGTCTTCTATGGAGGTCACCTCATTTGCTCTATAGGTCATGATTTACAACTGAGCAATGTGTTATTGTGAATGCACATGACAACTCATCAGGCAGTTGATGGTGATGCAGGAAATTACAATGGATATTACAAAATGGACAAAAGATCAAAGATGAAAATCTAGATGATAAAACAAGGTTAATTTTAAAAGAACAAACCTCCTGCAGCAGATCCTCTACTGAATGGTTGAATCGGTCCACAAATTCATCAATCAGCTGGCTGTGGGCTATGTCAACTCTATTCTGAATGGTATATTCTTCACTACACAGGATGCTATAGGTTTTACTGCAGGCTTCTAGAACATCTGATTCTACATGCTTCTCCACAACAAACTTAATCTGCTTTAACAAGGCATCCAGATGCTGTGGATCAGACAAAAAAGTCAGTTTTCACATTACATAGAATATTACATAAACAATGAAACTCAAGAAGAGAATGTTAAGCAATAGATCAAAGCAGTAAAAGATTACTACATGCTATTCCAAATGTAGCCATTTAATATGAACATGACTGATCAGTCAGTTGAAAGGCACCAGAGTGCCTGCATAGTGTACCATACCTTCTCCATTCTGCCTGTACTGTAGATTTCCAGGTCAAAATACTGGGGGATTTGCAGAAGGTTTGCTACTTTCTCTGCATCAGCAGAATACTAGATTATTGAAACAAAGAAAATGAAAAACAATTAATGTCTATACTACAGAATGAAAACATTATATACGTTATCAGTAAAGAATATATTTTGTGTGAAACTGTACCTTTGAAAGTAACATAGGAAGCGCAATAATGAAATGTTCAGTCAATTTGTTTCTGTCATCTATCTGAGTTTTCCTTTCTTTTGCAGTTAACACCTGTAAAAATAAGGAAAAATGTGCTATAAAATAATTAAATGTCTTAATGTCATTAATACAATAATAAATCGAAGGGTCAAGATCCCAAAAGTGGAAGCTAATTCAAAATGGAAAGAAAGCAAGGAAGGAAGGAAGAAAAAAAGATCATCAGGGATGAAGAGCATGTGAATGGGAAAGCAGTAAGAACTCCAGTTACCTTAAGGGAAAACCTCATTTCTTTCATTGTGATATTGTCTCCATGCATCCCCCATTTTTGGGGCCAAAAATTGGCAATACTGAAGTCAATGAAAATTTTGCTATTGCCTATAATGGGACCAACATTTGGCCCTCAGAGGAACCATTGTGATCATCCAATCGGACCTCTTGTATAACACAGGCCATAGAACTTCCCCAAATAATTCCTAGAGCATATCTTTTAGAAAAACATCCAAACTTGATTTAAAAATTGTTAACGATAGAGAATCCAGCATGATCCCTGCTAAGGTGTTCCAATGGTTAATTACTCTCACTATAAAAATTTACAGTTTTATTTCCAGTCTGAATTTGTCTAGCTTCATCTTCCAGTCATTGGATTGTGTTAGACCTTTTCTGGAAGACTGAAAAGCCCATATTAAATATTTGTTCCCCATGTAACTATTATAGTCTGTCATTAAGTCACTCCTTAAACTTTTCTTTGTTCAGATAAATAGCTTGAGTCTATCCCTAGAAGTCATGACTTCTAATAATTCTCATGGCTCTTCTCTGAACCCTCTTGAATTTATGAAAATCGTTCTTTGAATTGTGAGCACCATAACCGGACACAGTATTTCAGCAGTGGTTGCATCAGTGCCAAATCAGAGGTAAAATAACCTCTCCACTCGAGATTCGTGTTTATGCCTCCAAGGATCGCATTAGTTCTATTGGCCACAGCATTGTGCACTGAGTCATAGTAAGTGGGGTGCAAGAAAACCCAGAGCAGGGACTCTGCACAACAGCTCCACTCAGGTCCACAGACAGGCCACCTTCCAAGTTCCGTGGGTCATGGTGGTCTTAAGACTTGCGTCTAGATCAGACCAGAGCCCCTCCTGACATTAGTCAGTAAGATGCCTGGCTTTGGTGTAAGAAGTCAGGCAGGGATTCAACAGGCATACCGCTAGGAAGGATCTGTCCCAGTGGTAGGGCTAGAATGGATAATGACCCAAATTGAACCCCTTATCAGCTTCTACTGCAAACACCCCAAAACATATTAGTATGTTCCCTTACACGGTGTACCATTATAGGCACTCCTGAGTTGCTGCTGGTCCTGGGCCCTAAAATTTCATAGTCCCCAGTCCATGTGATCAATATGGCACTGGTAGATTCTGGGTCTAAGGCAGACAGCCAAGGTCACCGGGAATGTGGCCGACCTTCAACAAGCCAATCAATATCCCCATTTTAGACTCTAGTCATTCTTGTAGACTGAGTAGACTGGAATAATCAGACAGGAGAAATCACCGCACAACTTCCAATGCCCTGAGTTGTAACAACATAACTTTTGCAACTGGTGCAGGGAGTTCTTTTCTCAGTACTTCTAGAAAGGGAGAGAAACATCCAGACTCCTGACTTTTTTTTTTTTTTGCTAGAAATGTGCAAGGAAGTTGATGATATCTGTGTGTCCTGATCTGTTGATCAGTGCCCCCTGGGGGCCCTGAAGGCACCAGTGAGTCTTTTTCCATGAGTGGAAGTTCCATTGATTTGATGGTCTCTGAGAAAAATGCAGCTGAAAATTAGTACGTCCAGGGTAAAAAGGGAAGATGTGTTGCCTCATATATCAAAAATGTATACACTAGGACTGACGTTGAGATGGAAATAGGAGACAGACTTGTTGAAAATATCTGGGTAAGGATAAAAGGGGTAAAAAACAAGGGTGATGTCATGGTAGGGGTCTACTACAGACCACCTAACCAGGAAGAAGAGGTGGATGAGGCTTTTTATAAACAATTAACAAAATCATCCAAAGCACAGGACTAGGTGGAGATGGGGGACTTCAACTACCCAGACCATCTTTTGGGAAAATAACACAGCAGGGCACAGATTATACAAGAAGTTCTTGGAATATATTGGAGATGTTTTATTTCAGAAGATGGAGAAAGCAACTAGAGGAGAGGCTGTTCTAGATTTGATTTTGACAAATGGGAGGAACTGGTTGAGAATTTCAAAGTGGAAGGCAGGTTGGGAGAAAGTGATAATGAAATTATTGAGAGAGTTCATGATTCTAAGGAATGGTAAGAGGGGAAAAAAAGACTAATAAAGGTAATGGATTTTAAGGAAGCAGACTTTAGCAAACTCAGGGAGTTGGTGGGTAAGATCCCAGGGGAAGCAATTCTAAGGGGAAAAACAGTTCAAGAGAGTTGGCAGTTTTTCAAAGAGACATTATTAAGGGCACAAGAGCAAACTATACCACTGCGTAGGAAAGAGACCACCCTGGCTTAACCAGGAGATCTTCAATGATCTGAAACTCAAAAAAGAATCATACAAGAAGTGGAAACTATGTCAAATTACAAAGGATGAATATAAACAAACACAAGAAAGCAGGGACAAAATTAGAAAGGCCAAGGCCCAAAACCGAGATTAAACTAGCTAGAGACATAAAGGGTAAGAAGAAAATATTCTGCAAATACATTAAAAGCAAGAAGATGACCAAGGACAGGGTAGGCCCGTTACTCAGTAAGGGGGGGGGACAATAACAGAAAATGTGGAAATGGCAGAAGTGCTAAATTACTTTTTCGTTTTCACCAAAAACTTTAGTAGCAATTAGACATCTAACTTAATGAATGCCAGTGAAAATGAGGTAGGATCAGAGGCTAAAATAGGGAAAAAACAAGATAAAAATTACTTAGGGCTTGGCTACACTTGCAAGTTAGAGCGCATTAAAGCAGCCCCGGGCGCCCTAGCTCACTACCCGTCCACACTGGCAAGGCATATAGAGTGCTCCTCTTTTCCACCTTGGCGAGAAGATTAACGCTTGCTGTGCATTGGCTGAAATGCCCGGGTGTCAGTGTGAACGAGGTGTTGCATTACTGCGCTCTGATCAGCCTCCGGAAACGTCCCATAATCCCCTTAAGTCAAGTGGCCACTCTTGTCATTGTTTTGTCATCGCTGCAAGAATGCGGATATGCCCTTTGAAAGCTCTGTTTCTGACAGCTGGCATGCTTATCTGCTCCGAGACAAAGCAACCATTACTGTGGAATGCTGTGTGAGAGAGGGGTGGGGGAGGGAAGGGGGGGTCTGCTGCTGTCTGAACTTACAAGACAGCATGCTGACACACACTCTGCCCCCCAAAAACCCACTCTCTCCCCCCACATACACACAACACCCTCCCTCTCACCCCCCCCCCCCCCCTCATTTGAAAAGCACGTTGCAGCCACTTGCATGCTGGGATAGCTACTACATTGCACTGCTCTCTGTGGCCATTGCAAGAGATGCTAATGTGGCCACGCCAGTGCGCTTGCAGCTGTCAGTGTGGACAGATTGCAGCACTTTCCCTACTGCACTCTATGAAGGCTGGTTTAACTCAAAATGATCTACATCTGTAAGTGTAGCCATACCCTTAGACAAGTTAGATGTCAACAAGTTACCAGGGCCTGACGAAATACATCCTAGAAGTATTTCTAGGAACTGACTGAGATGATATCTAAGCCATTAGCAATTATCTTTGAAAAGCCATGGAAGATGGGTGAGATTTTAGGGGACTGGAAAAGGCAAATATAGTGCCAATCTATAAAGAGGGGAATAAGAACAATCAGGGGAATTACAGACAATTCAGCTTAACTTCAGTACCCGGAAAGATAATGGAATAAATACTTAAGCAATCAATTTGCAGACACTCAGAAGATAAAAGGGTGATAAGTAACAGCATGGATTTGTCAAGAACAAATCATGTCAAACCAAACTAATAGCTTTTTTTGACAGGGTAACAAGCTTTCTTGATAGGCGGGAAGCAGTAGATGTTGTATATTTTGACTTTAGTAAGACTTTTGATACTGTCTTTCATGATTTTCTCATAAACTAGGGAAATACAACCTAGATGGCGCTACTATAAGGTGGGTGCATAAAGTGGCTGGAAAACCATTCCCAGAGAGTAAGCATCAGTGGTTCACAGTCAAGGTGGAAGGGCATATCAAAATGGGTCCAGTTCTGTTCAATATCTTCATCAATGGTTTAGATAATGGCATACAGAGTACACTTATAAAGTTTGCGGATGATACCAAGCAGGGAGGGGTTGCAAGTGCTTTGGAGGATAGGATTAAAATTCAAAATTATCTGGACAAACAGGAGAAATGGTCTGAAGTAAATAGGATTAAATTCAATAAGAAGAAATGCAAAGTACTCCACTTAGGAAGGAAGAATCAGTTGCACACATACAAAATGGGAAATGACTGCCTAGGAAGGAGTACTGTGGAAAGGGATCTGGGGGTCATAGTGGATCACAAGCTAAATATGAGTCAACAGCATAAAACTGTTGCAAAAAAAGGGAATATAATTCTGGAATGTATTAGCAGGAATGTTTTAAGCAAGACACAAGAAGAAATTCTTCCACTCTACTCCAATCTGATTAGGCTTCAGCTGGAGTATTGTGTCCAGTTCTGGGTGCCACATTTCAGGAAGGATGTGGAAATATTGGAGAAAGTCCAGAGAAGAGCAACAAAAATGATTAGCAGTCTAGAAAACATGACCTATGATGGAAGATTTAAAAAGTGGGTTTGTTTAGTCTGGAGAAGAGAAGACGGGGGGGGGGGGAAAGGTGGAGGAAAACAACACATGATAATAGTTTTCAAGTACATAAAAGGTTGCTACAAGAGGAGGGAGAAAAATCTGTTCTCTTTAACCTCAGAGGATAGGACAAGAAACTTAAATCGCTGCTAGGACTGTTTAGGTTGGACATTAGGAAAAACTTCCTGTCAGGGTGATTAAGCAGTGGAATAAATTCCCTAGGGAGGTTGTGGAATCTCCATCATTGGAGATTTTTAAGAACTGGTTAG